TTTCAGGCCACCTTTTCTGCATTTAAGACATGGTATGGGTGGGGATGGGCTCTCACCTCCCTGCAGAACCCTTTGCCTCCACTGGCACAATCTGTTCAAGCTGTAGGGTTGCCCCACCCTGCCGACTCTCACCTGTCTTGCCTGAGGCCTGAGGGTCCCTGTGAGCAACATGAACAGCCAGCATACTTCAGAGACAACAGGCATGAGGACAGAGACAAACTCAAGCACTCAGCTCTTTAGAAGCACACTGGGCAAATGGATCTTCCCGGGGTTGTGTGTGGGTATGTGTATCCAAGGTGTGTGCATGCCTGTAGTGTATGTATATACCTTCTGTGTGTGTACACACCTGCAGTATATGCATGCATGAAGAGTGTGCACTCAGGGGCAGGCATTTGGGTGTCTGTGAACCCAGGTGTGCACACACACTTGGCAATGTACCTGTATGTGGAGGCAGGAAAAATCATGCCCTGGAGGGCACATCTGTGAACATACAGAAGACGTGTCTGCTAGTCCCGGAGAGTACAGGCTCCAAAGCCCATTGGCTCAGGGGAAATTAAAGTTGAACTGAGAGCTGGAACAAAGGTAAGTCCTACAGCAGGTACCAAAGGTATCCATAAGTCTGGCAAGACCTGGGAGCCTCGGGAGGGAGATCTCTGGATCTGTAGGCAGCCACGTGGGTTCAGCAGAAAGAGCTGCTGTGGCCCCAGCAGCCCTCAGCTAGTCCTGGCCCCACCTGCTGTTACAGGGTGTTCAGAAGTGACTGCCCTGATTAGGAAAGATGAGGAGCAACTCCAGCGACACTCTGGTGACAGAGTTCATCTTGGTGGGCTTTTCAGAGCTGTGCCGTTTTCCAGGGCTGCTATCTGGAGCATTCCTCACCATCTATGTGGTGACTGTCCTGGAGAATCTGGTTGTCATAGGGACCATTGGAGCCAGCCGTCAACTGCACACCCCCATGTACTTCTTCCTGGCCAACCTGTCGGTGCTGGAGACCTTCTACACCACTGTCACCGTCCCCAAGCTGCTGGCTGGCCTCCTGTCACAAGCAAGGGCTATCTCCTTTTCAGGGTGCCTCACCCAGCTATTCCTCTTCCTCTCACTTGGCTCCTCTGAGTGCTTCCTTCTGGCCACTATGGCCTGTGACAGGTACCTGGCCATCTGCCACCCACTGCACTACCCAGCCATCATGCACTCAAGGCTCTGCCTGCACCTGACCCTCAGTGCCTGGCTTGGTGGCTTTCTGGCTTCCTTCGTGTCCATAGCTCTCATCTCCCGCCTCAAGTTCTGCGGCCCCAATGTCCTCAACCACTTCTTCTGTGACATCTCACCCTTGCTGCAGCTCTCCTGCTCAGACACCACCATCATTGAAACACTGGACTTTGTGGCAGCCCTAGCAGTGCTTGCAACCTCCCTGCTGGTGACTGCCATCTCCTATGCCCACATCCTGGCCACTGTATTGAGGATTCCAGGAGGGGCTGGTCGTCGGAAGGCTTTCTCCACGTGCACCTCCCACCTGGTGGTAGTCGTCATCTTCTACACCACCACCGTCTTCATGTATGCTCGACCTCATGCCATCACCTCTTTTGACCTCAACAAGCTGGTGTCTGTAGTCTACTCAGTTGTGACTCCAATGCTCAACCCCATAATTTATTGCCTAAGAAACCGCGACATCAGAGAAGCCCTGGTCAAACTCCTCCGGGCCCTTGACCCGTCCTGAGTTCCAGCTGCAGGATACCTGCTGGAACTGCTCACCATTCTTCTCTGCCTGCAGATATCACGATGGCCCGCTGTTAGGCCAGGCTCACCCACCAGCTCAGTCAGCATGCTCGTCCTGCCCGCCGCACCCTACGTCAGAGCTGCCAAGAGCACAGCACGGCTGGAGCAAGCAGCTGAGCACAGAAGAGGCTGAGACTAAATACCTTAGGTCTGGGCTCTCACTTCCTCCCAGTGAGCTTAGTTCTTGACCCGGGGACAGCTCCTCGGTGCCCACAGCCTCCGCTCCCGAGAGCTCGCCACTGGCCAACGACAGCGACTGAGCAAGCTCAGCCCCAAGCAGGTTCCATCTCTCCACCTTGGCAGCCCAGACCCTTCCACCTCAAAAGCTCAGTGCAGACTTCACAGGAAGCCCCCTCTATGTCCCTGCCCCTCTCCATGATGCCCTTTTCCTCCTTCCCATGAGGTTCCAGCCAGCCCCTCAGATTAGACCCAGCATTCTTCATCTGGCTCATAGGTCAGGCCAGGTATTCCCAAGCCAAGGGGCAGGATTCCAGCAAGGCGACATGGTACCACGGAGAGCCCTCGGGAGGCTGAGGCAGGAAGATTGCTGCAAGTCTATGGCCAACCTGGGCTACAAAGTGAGTTCAAGGACCTGGGATCTAGCTCAGTGGCACAAGCGCCTGTGTGACAAGCCAAAGATCCTGAGTTTGATTCTCAGTTCTAAAAAAAAAGAATCCAATATCAGCCTGAACTGCACAATAAAACCCTGTCTTTAAAGACCAAAAAAAAAAAAAAAAAGAGTATATTAGTAATACAAAATAAAAAGATTCAATTTTGGTATACGGATACATCCATAGAACATATTTTTACTATTTTCATTCTTTCTTGCCCACTCTCTGATCCCTTTTCCCAGTTTTAAAAGTCTGCCTTCTAGTTTCCTATCAACTCACTTTTCTTTCTTCTTTTTTTTTTTTAATGTATTTAGTACAGGGTCTATGGGGTCTCACTACACAGATCAGACTCGTAGTGATTCTTCTGTTTTCAGCCTCCCAAGAGCTGGAATTACAGGCGTGTGCCACCACACCCAGTCTCAATCCCTGTCTGAGCACACCCTCTCACGGCATGCTGGGGATTGAACCTGACCCCTGCACTCTGCCTAAGCAGGCACTTTAGTCCACTGAGCTCTCTGGCCATAACAATACCAGGGATTGAACTCAGGACCCTGCACTTGCCAGGCAGGCACTTATTCT